GGGGAGGGCGGCCGGGAGCTGCCGGGGGTGGGGCAAGTCGAGTCTGTCTTTCCTGAGACTTCTGCCCGTTGTTTCATTCGCTTCAGCAAGGATGTGTCACTGCTGTGATTTGAAAACCACCCCGTTAAGACAGCCAACCGTGTGAGCGCCCGAAAGAGGACCAAAGGCCACACGTACACCCCTGTTGTGGACATCCGCCACTTGCTCCCCTGTGCCCCCTCCCTGGAAGGTCTTGGGGGAGGAGGGGCAGCCGTCCCTGTGCAGACCCCAGCGGGATCAGTTCGGGCCTGTGACTCTCCCGTCCCGAGGTGTGGCAGCCTTCATACAGCAACTGAGTCACTTTTCTGACGGGCCCAGGTTCAAATCCAACTTTGGTCATCGACTTGCTGTGTGACCTTGGACGAGTTACTTAACCTCTCTGTGCCTCAGTTGTTGTTGTTGTTGTTTTTTAACTGATAGTAGTGTCCGCTTTGTAGATTTGTTACGAGGATTGAAACCGAACTGGCGTAAAGTTATAAGGATAGTGTTTGGCGAGTGGTGGACCCTTGAGAGGTGATGGTCATCCTTATTTTCTGGTACCCAGGAAGGCGTTTGAGTTCTTAGCTCTGGGTGATGGGGAACAAGGGCTCTTCTCTTCCATCTAGTCCTCCTTTGAAAGGGCTTCAGGAGTAGGGGCAGAAAGTGCAACCCACCCTCTCCCATTTAGCAGATGGGCAAACTGAGGCCTGGATCTATCCAACGTCGGAAGGCGAGGGGGCAGCGCAGTCCCGGTCCCGGGAGGAGGGATGGGAGTCTGGCTGGGGAACCTTGGGCAAGCTGCCTCCCTCTCCTGGGCCTGCTGCTTCCATTACATCACACCTTTTCCAGAAGCGTCCCCGAGGATGGCCAAATCAGCGTGTCCTTGGCCGCGGGAGGCGGGGGTTCTGACGATTGTTTTCACAGCTCAGAGAGGAACGGGCAGCTCCCCTCTCTGTTTGCCCGCCCTGGCTGGAGCCTCCGGCCCTGGAGTCTGCTGACTGGTTAAGGTCTCTGGCTCCCTAGCCCATCAGACCGGGGTTGAAACTGACACCCGGGTGTGACCTCAGAGAAGTCGCTTCACTTCCCTGAGCCTCAGTTTCTTGCCCCCAGAAATGGGGACGATGATACCTCCCGGGTCTGGGTATTGCAGCCTAGGGCCGGGCACAGAGTAAGGGGTCCGAAAGTGGCAGCTGCCGTTCTGATCGTCTTCGATCTCCTTATCGTAATCCAGGACCTTCCCATGCTTGCTGGGCCCCTGGCCCTGAATCTCCCTTCCTCGTTCATGTTCCCTCCCCAGCCGGTCGTGGGTTAGCGCCTCTTTGGGATTCTGCAGCCTGGTGGCCCCTGGAGTCTCTCCCTGGGAGCTCGTAAGCAGCCTTAGGGCAGGTTTGTACGGACCCCTTCCCCGCTGGATTCCCCTCTCTATCCGCTCACCATCCTGTCAGGCACAGGACAGCCCCCCACCAAAGAAACACACAGGGTTATCTGGCCCCAAATATCAGAAGTGCCAAGGTTAAGGAAACCTGCGTAAGGGTAATATGGAATGAGACCCATATCTCCCTCATTCTACCTTCTCTACTTCTGTTAATATGACCAGGAGAAATGAATTAATCCCACCTGGGTGACATGTGCTTTATCTAAAAAGCTGTTGTTCTGTATCCAACTGCTTCCCAATCGACCTCCAGAGAAGTTAAACGATTTTTTTTTTTTCTTGGTGAAATTAACCCAATCAGATAAGGCCTATCTTGTTTTGGACGTGATGCACTTAACCTCTGTGATTTCTACTGTGGGGCTTGGCATTCAGTCCTCTTCATGTTCATTCGCCTGGC